TTTTTTATTATGATTATGTTTCATCAATGTATAATACAGAGAGGGTAGAGGTGTCGGTGTGCCTCAGTTTTGCTGTTCTGCCTCTGAATCAAAATGTTGTGGGTTTAAGTCCCATTTCGGGACTTTGAGCGTATATATCTAGGCTGACATTCCAGCACAGTGGTGGGAGAGTGCTGTAGGTGTTGTCTCTTCACGAGACCTTAAACCAAGGTTCCCAGTTGTCTGTTTAGTTGGATGTTTCGCCCCCAAAATACACAGTCAATCCACTTCACAGTGAGGTGGATAGGTACCTATAAAGGAAAACTGTGCAGGGAAATGGGGTAAGAGTGTAGGAGTGGGACTAGTTGGCGGCTCTTTGAAAGAGCCGGGACAGACACGATGGGCCGAATGGCCTCCTTCTGTGCTATATGATTTTAAACGCTTTGAGACATCTGGATGATGTGATAAGGCCCTATATCAAATGCAAATATTATTATTATGATGATTATGTTTGAGAACCCATGGCAGTATTCAAAAGAGAGAGCAGTTTTCATCTGGTGTCCTGGCTAACAGTCCCCCAGGTAGACATGTTAATTCACTTTATGATTGTGTGTGGGACATTACTGTGCACAAATTGGCTGTCGCCTTAGCCTACAAAATGCACAGTCACTACACTTTGCAATAGATCATGTAAAGTGTTTGGAGTCACCCTCCTGGCATCTCACTGTATCAAATGCAAGAATTATCATCATTATTAATATTGTAATTTAATGCATCATTGCATTTGGACCCGGTTAAACCTCACTGACCCAATGCAAATAGCGCTGTGAGAGTTATTTTGCAAAAAAAAACATTTCTGTCGGACTATATCTGACAAATATCAATGTGTTTACTTTAACAGTTATAAAGTAATTTAGGCCACTGATGTATTTTTTTTTCAACAGTTGTGAAAATGGACCCACAGCCTTTAAAAGTGGCGGAATTCCACTGATTATGGTGCTTCAGGAGCTGAGCTAGGATTTGGCATTCACAATGAACTTCATAAAATGGGACATTAATGGGAATTTAATTTATTAAAATGTCACATGCATATCATCTTGAAATCAATTCTACAATCCTTATTGTGGCGATGACAACCATTGTGTTCTCAATTGAAGACACTGAAGGTAACTGTTTCAAAGCTGCTGCAGAAATCTTTATCGTATTGCATTTTCTCTTTCTGAAAAAAAATCTCTCTCCGAGATGCACGGAAGTTCAAAGAGACAAATGGGGGGAAGATCAACTCCTCCAGCCTCAAAGTTGAACCTTTACAGCATATTGTATGAAGCCCCTTTGAGACATCCGAACGGCCCGATGAGGTGCTATATCAAACACAAGAATTATTATTATTATCGATTTTTTCCCCCCACCCCCTTCGTTTCAATAACTCAAAACACTTTGGAGGCTCCGCAAACCAAAGTCTACCAAAATTTTCCTTTATCGTCGCAACCATTTGAAATCTTTCCTGAGGATTATTCCTAATTGAACAGTTCATCTCAACTGCCTGATCCTCGCAGGTTCCAAACGGAGCACCAGCCAATAGTCGCAACCCACCGCATTTCCTTCTCATTTGTATTTCGGCTAAAAAAGAAAAAGGAAGAAATGTGTTCAGAACTCGGAGGCTATCTGAAGGTTTTATTGCGATTTAATACCAAATAGTGTGCGTACGTCTGCATATGCAATCAACCGTAAACCTGAGAAGAAGGGCGATGAACAATGTGTAATAACGCCAATCCTTTGGCGTTTGATTCCGCGCCTCATCACGTCTTCGAGACGTCTCGAAGCGCTTCACACGATATTCTGTAAAGTGTAGTGACTGTATGTTTTGTGGGTCTGACACACAGTCACGGATTGAGTGACCGAATTATTATCATCGTTATTTTTTTTTGGTGTCACACACGGGGGGGTGTGGGGTGGGGGAGGGGGGTCACATCTAAACCCTATTTTTATCAAGGAAGGAAAACTGCCTTTTCTCAGAAATGTCGGGAACGGCGGGAAAGCCCACGTTTGCCGGGTTCCGCGACGTCTCGAGGCCCCTCCGTCAATGTTACTGCTCTGTCTCCGGCGGAGAGCAGCTCAAGCCTCGAACCCTCTGCCAGCATTCTCCGTGCTTCACTGCCAGCGTCATCTCTTTACCCCCGACAGTCTTACCCCCTCCCCCCGACACTGTTACCCCCTCCCCCCGACAGTCTTACCCCCTCCGCCCGACACTGTTCACCTCCCCCGACAGTCTTAACCCTGCCCCCGCCACTGTTACCCCCTCCCCCTGACACTGTTACCCCCTCCCCCCGCCACTGTTACCCCCTCCCCCCGACACTGTTACCACCTCCCCCCGACAGTCTTACCCCTTCCCCCCGACACTTTTACCCCCTCCCCCGACATTGTTACCCCCCCGCCCGACAGTCTTACCCCTCCCCCGACAGTTACCCCTACCCCTGACAGTTAACCCCTTCCCCCCTGACACTGTTACCCCATCTCCCCTGACACGGTTACCCCATCTCCCCTGACACAGTTACCCCCTCCTCCCCTGACACTTACCCCTCCCCCCTGCCACTGTTACCCCTCTCCCCCCCTGAGTGTTACCCCCTCCCCCCTGACACTGTTACCCCCTTTCCCCTGACACTGTTACCCCTCCCCCTGATACTGTTACCCCTTCCCCCCTGACAGTTACCCCCTCCTCCCCCTTGATACTGTTACCCCCTCCGCCCAACAGTTACCCCCTCCCCCTGACACAGTTCCCCCCTCACCCCCTGACAGTGTTACCCCCTATACCCTGTGCCAGTTACTCTCTGCCAGTCTCGCCCTCTGACCTCTGCCAGTGTTACCCCCGGCATTGCCCTCGGAGTGTGGGGTGTGTGGGGGGGTTGTCTGTGTGTGGGGCTGAAGCCCTGGTGTGGTGGTGTGGGGGGGACTGTGACCAGAGAAGCCCAGAGAGAGAGAGAGAGAGACACAGCTTCAGCACCAATTTCAATCCCCTGCCCAACCCTGGTTCCCATGGTATATGATATAGAAATGATACCACCGCCCCCACCCCCCACTAAGCCCCCCCATTACCCCCCCCCACTACCCCCCCCCCCCACTACCTCCCCCCCACTAACCCCCCCCACCCCCCCCATTACCCCCCCACTACCTCCCCCCCCCCACTACCTCCCCCCCACTAACCCCCCCCCCCCCACTACCTCCCCCCACTAACCCCCCCCCCCCCCCCCCCCACTACCTCAAAGAGAACCCAAGAGAAGCAGCAATGGACGCGCCCCTTCGTGCTCAGGAATATTAATGTGGAGCCAAGCGGCAGATACACGTATTTTTTTCCTTCTCTCTCTTTCTCCATCTCTCCATCCATATAGGAAGACGTGCGTACACAGTGCTGTGTGTCTGTGTGTGTGTCTGTGTGTCTCTGTGTGTGAGGGTGTGTGTGTGTCTCTCTCTCTCTCTGTGTGAGGGAGTGTCTCTGTGTGAGGGTGTGTGTCTCTCTCTGTGTGAGGGTGTGTGTCTCTCTGTGTGAGGGTGTGTGTCTCTCTCTGTGTCTGTCACTGTGCTGAGCACCACTGAGAATTATAATACGCATCTTTCCTATTTATTATTGTGTGAGAGAGAGGGAGAGGGGGGAAGGAGAGAGAGAGATAGGTAGATAGATAGATAGGGGGGGGGGGGGGGGTGAGAGATAGAGTGGGGAAGAGAGAGGGGGAGAGAGAGAGATACAGGGGGGGAGAGAGGGAGAGAGAGGGGGTAAGAGAGAGACAGAGAGAAAGAGAGGTGATAGAAGGAGAGACATAGGAGAGAGACAGGGGGAAGAGAAAGAGAAGGAGAGAGAGAGAGAGAGAGAGAGAAGGAGAGAGAGAAGGAGTGGGGAGGGGGGTGGGGGTGTGGGTGGGGGGGGGATGACGAGCCGACTGGAACCATAGCGATTTCCAGTTTCCAACCCAACCGCCAAACGCCAACATGCGCCAAGGTTTGTGGAGGAGAACTGAGAGTGTCCGCCTTCCCCGACACTGCCAACTGCTGTAACAGGACCCCCACCACCAGCAGCAGCACCAGCCCTCACCCCCACCCCCACCCCCAACCCCCCCCCCCCCAAAAAAAAAACAAGAGAGAGAGAGAGAGAGGGAGAGGGGGAGGGGAGAGGGGGGAAGAGGAAGACAAGCCCCAAAAGAGAGAGAGAGGAAGAAAAATAGACGTTGCTTAAAAAAACCAACCTCAGACGTCCCCCCTCTCTCTCTCTCTCTCTCTCTCTCCATCACTCTCATTCATTCTCCCTTTATTTTTTCCTTCCCTTCTTCCTCTCTCTCTGTATTTCTTTATTTCTCTCTCCCCCCCCCCCCCCCACTCCTCCTCTCCTGTACCTATCCATCCCTCTCTATCTCTTTATCTCTCTCTCTCCCCCCACCCACTCCTCCTCCTCTCCTCTATCTCTCTCCCCCACCCCCACTCCTCTCCTGTATTCCCCCCCTCTCCTCTCCCGTATCTCTCTCTCCCCCCACTCCCTACTCCTCTCCTCTCCTGTATCTCTCTCCCCCATCCCCACTCCCCCTCTCCTGTATCTCTGTCCCCCCACTCCGCCTCTCCTCTCCTGTATCCCCCCCTCTCTCCCCCCATCCCCACTCCCCCTCTCCTCTCCTGTATCTCTCTCCCCCCATCCCCACTCCCCCTCTCCTGCATCTGTGTCCCCCCACTCCCCCTCCCCTCTCCTGTATCTCTCTCCCCCCATCCCCACTCCCCCTCTCCTGTATCTGTGTCCCCCCACCCCTGTCCCCTGTCCCCTGTCCCCCCACCCCTGTCCCCTGTCCCCCCACCCGTCCCCTGTCCCCCCACCCCTGTCCCCCCAGCCCTGCTCCCCTGTCCCCCCACCCCTGCTCCCCTGTCCCCCCACCCCTGTCCCCTGTCCCCCCACCCCTGTCCCCTGTCCCCCCACCCCTGCTCCCCTGTCCCCCCACCCTGTCCCCTGTCCCCCCACCCCTGTCCCCTGTCCCCCCACCCTGTCCCCTGTCCCCCCTGTGTGTGTGTGTGTGTTTGGGAGGTTTGGTGCTCAGTCAAACCCGCTTTGCCCACATCCACCAGCTTTGATGTTGTGAGGGCTGTGCGCAGGCGCGTCCCCCACCTTGGAATTACTGCACTGGAGAAGAATAAGTTGGATCTTCTCTCTCTTTCTGTCTTCGTTGGGAAAAAAAAACCCTCAGAAAAAAAAAAATCATCTGAGAACTTAAGGGATGATGAGAGTTCGGAAAAGGGGCTTCTTTAGGGCTTTGTCGTTCCCCTTATTAGTAGCGATGGTCTGTGCCCAAAGGTAAGCCATGGGGAGGTGTGCAGGGGGGGGGGGGGGTGGGGGGGGAGAGGGGGAAACAGAGGTGTCTCTGTACCTCTTCATTACAATTGCACAATTATACTTCAACCTGATCAGAGGAATCTGCCTTTTTCTCAAGTGTTTTCCTGTCCTCTCCTCTCTCCCCTCCAGTGTCAATGACTCTGGGAATATGTCATTGGTGAAGGAGACGGTGGACAGACTGTTGAATGGATATGACATCCGTTTGAGGCCAGATTTTGGAGGTAATTTGATTTGAGTGCTTTTTTTTAAATGTGATTCCTTTGCAGTCTTGTCCCTTCCTCTTCTTCTTCTTCTTCTTCTTCTTGTTGTTCTTGTCGTCGTCGTTGTTGTTGTTGTTGTGTTCTGTTGTTTTTATGATTATTATTATTATTATTTGCTTCTTGTTCTGAGTGACTGGTGAATCTGAAATGATTTTAAAAGTTAAAATTATTGTTGTGTGTGTGTGTGTGTGGGGGGGGGGGGTGGGGGGGGGGGTGGGGGGGGGGGACCAACTTGACTCAATTGCACACTTTATAGTAAGCCGTTTGGCTGCCTCTTGTTTAATGAGTCTTTTATAACCATATATATTTGATGCACATCCGCCAGTACAATAAGTTGTGTTGTTAGTTATTACGGCCGTATAATTAGCTGTTGGATTGTCTGTTCAAAAAGGCTTTAAAATAATTACTAACCACGAGACTGTTCTACAATACATTCGCAGCGTTGTTTTATTTTACCCACAAAAGCACATTCAACTAACTGTAGTATTTTCGCAGAGGTATTTCAGAGAGAAGCGTTTTAACACCATTTTAATTTTGATGCCTTTCTGGACTGTACCGTTATCTGCTTTTTTAAAAAAAAATCGACGTAGTAAAACAAGATTTCAAATGCCAGTCACATACTGAAGCCTCCACTCCAATGAATGTCAGTGTGTTTCTGTGTGTGTGTGTGTGTGCATCTGTGTGTGTGTGTGTGCATCTGTGTGTGTGTGTGTGTGCATGTCTCTGTGTGTGTGTGTGTGTGCATCTGTGTGTGTGTGTGCATCTCTGTGTGCGTGTGTGTGTGTGCATGTCTCTGTCTGTGTGTGTGTGCATCTGTGTGTGTGTGTGCGTGTGCATCTGTATGTGTGTGCATGTCTGTGTGTGTGTGTGTGCATCTGTGTGTCTGTGTGTGTGCATGTGTCTGTGTGTGTCTGTGCATGTCTCTCTGACTGTGTGTGCGTGTCTGTGTGTCTGTGTGCATGTGTCTGTGTGTGTGTGTCTGTGTGTTCATGTCTCTGTGTGTGTGTGTTTCTGTATGTGTGTGTGCATGTCTCTATGTCTGTCTGTCTGTCTTCCTATGTCTATGTGTGTGTGTGCATGTCTCTGTCTGTCTGTCTGTCTGTCTGTCTGTCTGTGTGTCTCTGTGTCTGTCTGTCTGTGTGTGTGTCTGTGTGTGTGTATGTGTTTGATTTAAAGGAATGCGATGCGAACCATTTAAATCAAAAAAATAGGAACCACATTTGCCTGCCATCGTGTGCGCGCGCGCGTGTGTGTGAGGGTGAGGGTGTGTGTGAGTGTATTTAAGAATGTTCTTGGCTTTAGAGCTTGAGCAAAGAGTTAAATGTATAGAGATCACATTGCGGACGATGTTGTTTGTGTGCAGGTGCTCCTGTAGCTGTTGGGATGAACATAGACATTGCCAGTATAGATATGGTTTCTGAAGTCAATATGGTGAGTACATCAGTGCCCTCCAGCCACTGCCTGGATGAAGCCTTGAGGGGAGAATCAGGATAATAAGTTTCCATTCAATGATGATGGGTATCGATGCTCACACACATGTGCCCACCTGCTTTCCTCTTTTTTTAACTCAAAACCACACGTCTGCTAGGGATATGTGTATCCCAGGTGCTTATTTTGTTTTACATATCAACCCCCATGAGTAATTTTCCCAGCAAAAAGCACAAAGCAAAAGGGGGAGAAAGATTACAAGTGCACTGTTTTTTTTTTAACAGCTGACCGGAAAGGAATTTTCAGCAACCTTTAGTCAAATTGGAGCATATGATGATGGTTATTATTATTATTATTTTTTTGCTCCGTGCAATAGCGCCCCCTGCTGATTGTTGCACAAAGTACCACCGAAGCCCACAATCAGGAGCCAAGGCTTTGAGAAAAAGCTGCTTCCAGAAACTACTTGGGATCTTTTAAAAAAAAGTCATTGAAGCTTCTCCGACAGCAATAGCTTTCTTCCTCGACAAGAGAATTATCAAAAAAAAATCTGCGACGCATATCAATTGTGACCCCAATAGTATTTACTTTTTCTTTTTCGAGTGGTGTGGGGGGAGGGGTGGGGGGGGGGGTGAAGGGGCCGGGAGATGGGTGAATAACACTTTAAAATAAGCGCCGGTTGAAAGGTCTCAGGACTCATAGATTTCTTTTTGATGCATATCAAACCTGGTCCGTTTTTATTGACACGTACGTGGAATGGTTTGTGTGCAACAAATTAACATACGGGTCAAACGCCTGCTACCAATAAACATTGCTTTCGCTAAAGAGTTCAACATCCAAAGGATTTCTCCCCTTACCTCCATATCAGATTCTCAAGGTCATCAGATCTGTGTAAGGTAGAACTCCTGATGCTTCAGTGTAGGATATTCTATAAGGCTGACAGCTAATTGCTAATTAACTGGGATACTTTACTTATAAATTACTCTAGGTGCCTTTGATCATTATGGATTTGATCAAGTTAAAGACTCTGATGGTAATAACACAACTTATGTTCACTATGGGACATAATGAAACTCAGACCATAGTCTGATTGAGCCAGATGTGTTTGTTTATGGGGGTGGGGTGGGGGGATGAGATGCTCTCATCCAGTTTGTGAATGTCTTTGAGACGTCAAATGTTATATACAGTACCTAACTTGTTCACTATTAAATTAGACTTATTTAAACAAGGTCACAGTAACGCTGTGTGTGTATTCCAGCACTACAGCTACCTCTGCATCTTCTAAAAGATTAGGTTAGCTGTAAAATAAATAACAGGTCATTAATAGCAGTTATACTACTGTATTATTATAATATGCCTATGTTATAATAGCTACTGTAGTTATTACAGTTTTAAAGATGTGTGGGTTAGTGTTTTTATAACTCAGTTATGTGGGCCACTTCAGAATGACCTCTGGCACTGCCATCTAGTGTTATGGTGTTATCATGTATTGCAAAAGGTTAGTCGCAGCTGTTAAAAAAAGAAGCAATCAACAGAAAATAAGTAAGACTACTTTTTTTTTCCTAATTAGTCCATTTGCTTGGACGATTAAAGGTTTAAAGCGTAATCATTCCTGAATGGTTTCCACTGAATGTTATGTACGATGGGCTGTAAATGTGATCTGAAAAATAAGAAAGATCAGATATTTTTGTTGGATGCATTATTCATTCCATTATTGAATCCTTGCTCCTTTTCCCTGTGTTTTTCCCATGCCCACCCAACTGGCAACTAATGTCCCATCAGATGCCTTGTGTCCTTGGGTGAATGTTTCTGTTCCTTTATCCAGTAACTATTCCAATGTGAAACACCAATTGATTTAAAAGGTCAAAAGTCAACATGTAATTTGAGCAGGTGGTGATTTTTAACTAGTGGTAAATAATAATAATCCTTTCACTTGATATAGTGCCTTATCACGTCTTCGAGACGTCTCAAAGCGTTTCAAATGTTGAAACATACAAAACATGCCATACATCATAGCACTTTTTCATCACGTACTTCTCAAACCTCCCTCTGAGCTTCAATCATGTTGTTTTCTGCATGCATAACAGATTCACAGGAGTTGGAAAATAATGCATTTAAAATGAAAAAAATCAGTCATTTCCATAACCAAGCAGGCGAATACTGTAGAATTTGATGTGTATGTTAGATGTCATTAAACTGGTAATCTGGGCAGTAATTTATATAGTTACCACGGATTTGAAAGGAGGATTATAAAAGGACAATCACTAGTTACTCTGCAGTTTAATTGGAAATTGGTTTGTTTACTTGGTCCATTAGAAGACTCACTGAAAGACCTTATTTTGATACTGTTTTGGCCCTCGTTGGCCCAGATGTACTCTTTCCCCATCAGTCACCCAATACAAGGCATGTCACGGGCCATTTCTACCAATTTAGGTAGAATTTAATTGACCCCCTCCCCTTTTTTTTAACAAATGGGGAAACATTTTATCTCAATGTTGTTTAACGAAAGGCAAGGTGTTTTACTGAATGGCACCATTGTGAAAAGATGGCCACTGTGATGCTTTGAACCAACAGCAATCTTTTCATGACATTACTAACTTTTATATCAATTTCCTTTGTTTGGTTATTGCTTTAATGTCTTTCTGCTAATTATTACAGTCAGGTTAAAAAAAAAGGAAACCCATTGAACATTTCTGCCTCACAGCTAACTTGCATGTCAGCTTTGCTCAGTTGATAGCATTCTGGCATCTGTAAACCCCAACAGGAATGTAGTGACTTCTAATGGTCCAGATTAGCACCGGGGAAGCAGAGGGTTCTTGGGATGAGGCCCTTGAATCAAAGGCTGATTGTTGAGAATAACACTGGGGAAAACAAATATGTTGTAGTCCCGTGAATGGGGAATTAAATTAGTTCTCCATTCATATTGCTTTCCTAAAACACAATGCCAATTAAACATTATCGGTCTTGATAAGAATTAGCTGAACATTAGGAGTAATATTTAAGGAATTGAAACAAATATATGGTGAGCTGGAGAATATGCATTCAATTGAGAATTATAATAATAATCCTTGCATTTGATATAGCGCCTTATCACATCTTTGAGACGCCTCAAAGCGCTTCTTAGGATATACTGTAAAGTGAATCGACTGTATATTTTGTGGGTGAGAGACTTCATTGTGAGAGTTCAAATGACATAAACCACAATAGTTGGTTATTTCCATTGTATCTCTACATAAAAGAGGTCTGTTATTTTATGCCATTCATTTAAGTGTTATTCCTGTATAGTTTAACTATCTTAAATATACAGTAATGAAGATTTACATATTCACTACTGACTCAATAAAATGAAAACTGTACTTAACGGCAATGTAATGTGGTATCAAAATTACATGAAAGATTGTCAGAGACAATTGTGTTGTCGTTACCAAAGTAATCATGTTTGTTTACAAGGAAAGTGATATTTTGTAGCTTTAAGGAAAGATTTCTTGGGAACAGAGAGACAAGTAGACATTCTATGGGGTCAATGTACCAGCGGTGGAGGAAAGCAGTTCTGGTTAGGAACCGGATACGGGCGAGGAAGGACAGCTGGGGGTCGAACCTGATGCCGAGGTTACGTTCATTCTGGTAAGTCTCAGGGAAAGGTGGGCGAGGTTGAGGAGGTCAGAACCGCAGGAGAGAAGACGTTGATAGGAGCCAAGGAGTATGGCTTCCACCTTGTCAACGTTCAGCTGCAGGAAGTTTGCGCTCTTCGAGGGCTTGATCTCTGCCCATGACAGGACATCAGTCGACCTGGTTTCATAGCTGGAGAAGAAGTAGATTTAGAAGGGGAGCGGGACACAGCCTGAGAGGGACTGGTTGACTGTGTATCCAGCAGGGGAGGGGGAGAGGAGTGACTAGCAGCTGGGTGGGGAGGGGGTTTAGGGAGTTCATATTGAGACCTGACCTTTGTGACGAGTTTTTGAAAGAGAATCCCGTATTCCACCATCTGAGGGCAAATGAGAATCGGAGGCGGGACCAATAGTCAACATTGAGCTGGTGCTGAACGTGTCACGATTGCTTCTGTCTGATTGTGCTTTGGAATGTCCTAAAGAAATAAAATCATGAGAAAATATGTTAGACATCAGACAGTATTTTGAAACAGGGTTGATTTTTAAGCTTATCTGCAAATTATTATTATTATTATTATTATTATTATTATTATTATTATTATTATTATTATTATTATTATTATTATTATTATTATTATTATTATTAAATTGATGATCACCTAATCAGGGTATGAGCAATGATAGCCTCTCTGGTGATGAAAAACTGCAACTTTACAAGTAGGTTTTCTCGTTGGTCCCAGCAGCAGATATTCCACGAGACTTAGCTTTTCAGTGAACGACTGAGATTTTAAGCAACAAAAGTAGGTCAGAGATTTTTTTTTAACACCTTTGAGTCGGGAAAATGACAGAAGGAGGTTAAATGATGTGAGGAACTTTACATGGTCTCTTCACGACGTCTCAAAGCGCTTCACAGGATGTCCTATAAAGTGAATTGACTGTATATTTTGTGGGCGAAACGTGGCAGCCGAGTGCGCACAGCGGCGTCCCACAAAAAGTCGTGGATTGAGTATATGGAAGCATATATATGGGAAAATAGTTTTCTTCTGATAATTCCATACTTTCCATTGACTTTCTATAAAATTGCTGAACCCAAAATAACATTAATGTTATCCTGTCATTCTGTCGTGGGTTCTATATGTGCTCCAGTGTATCAGGATTTAACTAGTATCTCCTCACAACGGTGATCGTGAAGATACGGCGTTTTAAATTATAATCCTTGCACTTGAAATTGTTTAGACTTTTGTTGGTTTTACAGTACTGTCGTGTGAAAATTTATGGAAACATATTGTTATGGTTACATTGCTTTCCCTCTGTAGATTAGGAAGATGAAATATTCTCTTTTTAGGTGGGATACATGACAATATATCAACTCTTTACGGTTCAATAAAATATATAACA